GCTGTGTGTTCAGACCAAGGCAGACTAGAAGAAAGGCCTAGAACACTGACTTCAAAAGCCAGCCACGAAAGCCTATGGGTCCTACTGTGCGTGCGGCCGGCAGCTGACACCAGCTGAGGGCCTGGAGGGGACATGCTCCTCCGGTGCCAGCAGAGGAGCAGTGGGCAGCCTCCTCGAGTGAGCGGACTGAAAAAGGTGGGAGGACGGAGGGACCAGGCTTGAGCACTGGCACCCACCTCCCCCCACTGTCCTCCCTGCCCTGTCCCCACCCCACAGCCTCAGCACTGCGGGCTCAGTGCATCTGTCTCTCCAACCAACTCAGAGGCCAGCACCCATGGAAACCCCAAGGGGCAGCTTGCTAGAGTCCCAGGGGAAACAAACTCATGCTTTCCTCCACTGTGAGGGAGGCCCAGCGCAGTGATTGGACCTTGGGGTGGGGGTCCTCTGGGGTCCTGTGCCCCAGGCATGGGAAGATGGCAGAGACACAAACTCACACCCACCCCCACCCCTGGAGGAGCTCGTCTCCAGACAGGGATGACAGGGGAGTTCAGTTCCCGGGAAGGTCTGGAGTGCAGGTCCTGGCCCAACAATGGGTCAGTGGGCAGGGTGAATGCTTTCCAAACCCCTTATTCCCCCACTCCCGGGCTGCATTCCCAGGGCAGGGCCCTGCACTTGGGCAAAGCTTGCTGGAGAGTTGATTGATGCAGGCTGGAGAGCTGAATCAGGGCCGAGCTGGGAACTGTGGGAGAGGGCAGTTCCTGACAATGATTCCGACAGACTGCCCATGAACCTTGTAGCCAGAGGACAGGCACTGCATGCATGACCCCACGCACGTGAAGGGTCACCTACACAGAGACAGGGAGCGCCTTCCTGGGAGAGAGCCTCATGAGTGGGTGGGGGCAGGGGCGTGCTGGCTTAGTCTTCTGTCCATGGTCCTGGACAGAACCATAGACAGAAGAACCTCCTTTTGTTGAGAGAGGCGGCTGAGGCTGGCTGTACAGGTGAGTAAGGCGATGTCACTGACTGGCACATGTAGAACGGGCTGACTCGGGGTGCAGTGTATCCCACTGAACAGGAAGGACCTCAGGAAGAAGTGTTGGGCAAGACGCTGCACTGACGGGACAAGAACGTGTTCTCCTGTGACCACTTCCTCTCTCTGGAACAGGGGGGCGTGGGGGTGGTGGCGTGAGGAGGCACAAAACAGCAAGAGGAGGAGGATGGAAAGTCCAATTCCGAGCTTCACAGCCGAGTTCAGAGACACTCAACAACTCCCACCTCGTTGCAAAGCCCTGGGCCCAGCCAGCCAGGCCTGAGGGCGACGTGGCTCCACTGGGGAATCTGGGTGTGGGGCCTGTGGCGCCCACTCTAAGGTTGAGGAGCAGCTGTGCTGGAGAGGCTGGTGGGCCGGTAACTGTCAGCCCCCCCAAAAAGCCCCGGGGGCCTGAGAAGGAGCTGGGGCACCAGGAAAGGTCACGGGCCTGCACATTTTTAGGGTTTGATGTACCTATAGACCCTGCTAAAGGGCGGGCTCCGATGCAGGGGTCCACGGTCTGAGTTTCTGACAAGCTCCAGGGGATGCCCAGCTGGCGGGACTCTGAGAAAGGAGGCTCAAGGCCAGCCCAAACCAAGCCCATTGCCATTGAGTGGATCCCTATAGCAACCCGGGAGGCCAGCACAAAATTACCCCGCAGGGCCCTGGAGGTGTGACCGTGTCAGCAAGGTTGGCCGTCAAAACCTGCAGCCACCCCAAGGGGGAAAAACGAGGGTGCTGCTCCCATGCGGGACTCCTTCTCGGGTCACTATGAGTCCGAATCAACTCAGCAGCAGTGGATTTGGGGTTTGGGGTGAGGATCTTTCTGGAAGCCACATCTTTTGGTGCCCCCAGGACTCCTTAGCAACAAGGCAAGGGTTTAGGGTGCAGCTGAACCATCTGTGAGCAGGGGTGGGGGACCCTGAAAGCAGTGTGCTGCGCCCCACCCCCAGAGTTTCTGATTGGGTGGCTGCTGCAGCTGCAGGACCTGGGCCCAGCGTTGGGGCAAAGCTGGCCCGGGAGGAGAAGTCAAGCTGCTCCAAGCGCCTTTCTCTTGGAAAGTGCTCCTGCTTGGCTCATTACGCTCCCAACAAGAACTTGTTCTCCTGTGACCACTTCCTCTGCCTGGAACAGGGGGGGCATGGGGGGTGGGCATGAGGAGGAACAAAACAGCAAGAGGAGGATGATGGAAAGTCCAATTCTGAGCTTCACTGAAGTAGTCTCCCGCTTAGCAAAATGGAGGTTGCCAAAGACTGCACCCCCACATGTCACCAGCTGTCAGTTGCCATGCAGCATCAAGTACTTGGGGGGAAACGGCTTGGACTTGATGCTGCTCCTACACCCACGCCCAAGCATGGAGTGACAGCTG